CCCTACTCCTCTCAGTGGCAGGCAGCTACGGATGCAGAGATGGCTTCCTGGAAGTCCACAGGCACCTACGTTGAGGCTTGTCCCCCTTTATGGGGCGAACATCGTCAGTGGCATGTGGATCTTCAGGGTGAAGGCCCGCCCGGGTTCTCCGCCTGTCTCAAGGTGCGTTACGTGGCTCGTGGCTTCAGTCAGCGGCAGGGAGTTGACTACTTTCAGACCTTCTCCCCCACCCTGAAGATGACACTCTTCGGGTAGTGCTGCAAGCAATTGCTCACCGTGACTACGAGCTGCACTCTCTCGACTTCAGCACAGCTTTCTTACATGGCAACCTACACGAGGAGATCTGGCTTGCGCCGCCCACCTGGCTTCACTGGGTTTCCCTCCTGGTACCCAGTGGAGATTCCGGCGTCCAGTCTACGGCTCTGCCAGGCGCCACGTGAGTGGCACGACACACTGAGGACTACACTTGCGGCTCTGGGGTTTGCTCCTTCTTTTGCCGACGCGTCGCTGTTCTGCGCACCGACACCTCTCTGCCGCCATTCTCTGAGGAGCCGGGGCTTCCGCGATATACACGCACTCACGTAGCGGAGGGGCTTCTTGAGGGGGGGGGGGGGGGGGGTAGTGTAAGGAATTTTCTCGATATTCCTTAGCGCGCCCTGCAACATCGCGTACAGCAGCAGCGTTGTTCGCCTGTTACTGCTAACGGGGCTTCGCCGACTTCGCGCGCACTGTTTCACCAAACCTCGCACTGCTGGCCTGGCTGTGTCGGCCTACGCTTCGGGACTAGCCCGAGCCTCGCTTCTAGCGTAGCACTAGCTAGCTCGCACGCACCGCGTTACCGTTTGCATGTTTCACGTATAAATGTTCGCTCATGCCTTCGCTCACATTTTGTACTCGTTTGACACCTTAGTGCATTTCTCGCTACTTCGATTCATTGCACCCGTAACAGATCTCAAATATCGAGAAACAGGTGGACGAGGAGGTGTGACATGTATAATAAACGTGAAAAGAAAGCATACAATAAAAATATGATATGAAATATTGCAAACTGCACCAGGGTAGCCAATATAATTTCCACTATTCCCAAGCAGAGCACTAACAGTTGACTTTGAGAGAGCATGACAAATCAAGTGATTCACACAAAGCTTTGTCCCAATATCCACAATTGAAATTAGCCTGACCCCTTTTTGCAAAATATGTCAATCACAACTGCCCAATCGCTCGTTGGATGGCACCTCTGATTGCTTCCTTATCAAGGTCCGATTCCACTAGCAGCTGCATACTCAGATGAAAAAAGAAAAAGAAAAGGAAACAAAATATACACATGAATAAGTGCCCAGCCCACCCAATAAAATAGCAAGTCACACCACCATCAAGCGGACGAAGGATAAATCAGGTAGACAGTACGTCATGAAACATGGAATTTTAGTCAAGGAAGATCATTACCTCTTGGATGGTCAGCCCAGCACGTGCTACAAGCTTGTAATCTGAGTCTGACTGTGATGCCAGGAAGATCTGTGAGAGCGCAGATGAGGGATTGTGTAGTGTGATGTGCAGGGAAGGGAGAACAAACAACATTATCCACCTGCACGGACTACAAACTTGTATTCAGAGTCTGACTGTGACGCCAGCAAAATCTGTGAAAACGATTTCAAAGACACGTGAAGTGCAGGTAAGGTACAAAGTTCAGAAGCGTGGAACAAACATTAGTGAGGATGAGGTATAGTTTTATGCTCAGTACGGTAGATGCAACTCTTGCATCTCCTGGATGAACTATGCCAAAATGTAAAAAAATGGAAGGCAAAGGGTTTTTGTGTGCCATCACACTAAAAGCGACTTTTGAGGCGCCTCAAAAGCACATCACACTGAAAACGCGCCTCAAACCAGGCAGGTCCGGACGCCAACAACCATCAAAACTGACTGACAGCAATTCATACCTGAAATCCAGGAGCCAAGGCGCCTCCACCAATCACACGCCCCAGAGTCACCGACGTTATGCCAGGTGTCTCTCTGAGACTGGCTGCCACTGCTTCCAGCTCAGCTGCTGCCTGTTTTGGGGAGTGTCCCAAGCGTGTCAGGAGATTTTCAGGGGATTGTGGAGAGGTGCAGTGGGAGGGGAGGAGGAAGATATGTAGCATCATATGCAGGGAAAAGTAGCATCACTGTTGAGCTAGTGTGCTAGGTGCACACTGCACTACACTGCACCAATCTGCACCGCACCACACTGCACTAAACGCACCTCAAACTGAAGCGGCATGCTTGGAGCGGACTCAGCAGCTTCATGCGCCTCCTGCCGCCGCCACTGCCCGCCCGCCCCTGCTGTTGCTGCTGCTCCCCTGATTCTGCTGCTGCTGCTGCCCCTGCTGCTTCAGTTGTGGCAGCTCCAGTGCAACGAGCAGGCGCTTTTGAACCGGCTTGCTGCGAAGCACATGCACTAGCAGGGACTGGCAGGTGTGGGCGAACACAGGGTACAGAGTGGAAAGAGGGGAAAAACATTAGGGAGGTTGGGACAGGGTGGCTCCAGTGCAACGAGCAGGCGCTTTTGAATTGACTAGCTGCGAAGTACGTGCACTGGCAGGGACTGGGGTGAGTGGGGTGCAGGGGGGAGGGAGAAAAAGAGTGTGGAGAACTTTATTTGCTGCCGCTGCTTCCTCTGCTGTGGTGCTGGCCCCTGCCCCTGCCCCTGCCCTGCCCTGCCCCTGCCCCGGCTGCTGCCCCTGCCCCTGCCCTGGCTGCTGCCTTGCAGCGGCTCCAGTGCAACCAGCAGGCGCTTTTGGACGGGTTTGCTGCGAAGCACATGCACTGGCAGGGACTGGCCGGTGTGTGCGGGCGCAGGGTACGGAAAAGAGAGGGGAAGAACGCATGAGGACGGGAAAGGGTGGCTGCAGAGCAATGAGAAGACGCTTTTGGACGGGTTTTCTGCGAAGCACATGCACTGGCAGGGACTGGCCGGGTGCGGGCAGGGTACGAAAGGGAGAGAGGGGAAAAACACAAGGGAGGTTGGGAAAGGGTGGCTCCAGTGCAACGAGCAGGCGCTTTTGGACTGACTTGCTGCGAAGCACGTGCACTGGCAGAGACTGGCCGGTGCATGAGGGGTTTGAAGGAGAGGAGCGGAGGAGGGGGGAGACAGAGGGAGCGGAGAGGAGGGGGAGACAGAGGAGCGGAGGAGGGGGGAGACAGAGGGAGCGGAGGAGGGGACAGAGGGAGCGGAGGAGGGAGACAGGGAGCGGAGGAGGGGGGGACAGAGGGAGCGGAGGAGGGAGGGAGGGAGGAGGGGGGAGACTATTTTTGAGGTGCCTCAAATACGAACGCTTGCATCTGGCTTGCTGCAGAGCACATGCACCGGCAGGGACTGGCAGGTGTGAGGGACGGAGGGGAGGAGCGGCGAGGAAGGAAGGGTAGCGAAACGAGAGGGAAGAGACTTCCGCTGTTGCTGCCACTGCTACTGCCGCTGCTGCTGCCACTGCCACTGCCGCTGCTGCTGCCACTGCCACTGCCGCTGCTGCTGTCACTGCCACTGCCGCTGCTGTGGCTAAACCCTGAACGTTGACTGACCGTGAACCCTGAACGTTAAACCTGACTAAGCCCAGCCCAGTTGTGTTTACACATACATACATATGATGTGAGCGTGAACATATGGGCAAGCACATATTGAGAAGTGAGCATCTGATGCGAATGGGATGAACTGGTGTGGCTTGAAGGGCTAGAGTTGAAAGGTTTAAGGCTTTCGGGTTGGGATGAATTTTGAAGCGCCTTAAAAGACGTCGTTTGAGGCGCCTCATAGGAAGTGAACATCTGATGTGAATGGGATGAACTGGTGTGGTTTGAAGGCTAGAGTTGAAAGGTTTAAGGCTTTGAGGTTGTGCTTGGGTTTTGGGCTTTCAGTGTTTGATGCTTGAAGTGTAGAGGTTTAACGGTTTCGAGTTTAGCATTCAGGAATGTGTTAAGTGCTTGATGTGAAAGCAAGCAAGCACACAGGTGTGATGTGTGGACCTACATGGCCAATGGGGAAGGGCCACGTGTCCACTGGTCCTTGCTTCAGCTGCCGGATACTGTCATAATGGATCATGACGTTGACTCCGTCCACCTGTGAGGGTGTGACACGTGGCACACACAGGAGACAGGGGATAAAGAAAGGGGCACATGAGGAAAGGCACAGATGAGGGTAAGGGAGAATGAGGAGAGGGGCGGATGAGGAAACGAGATAAAGAAAAAACAAAGAGAGAAAAAAAGAGATCAAGCCTTTTTTGATATGGGTATCAGCAAACTGTAAGCAACAAATATGCATATGCGCTCATACCTGGACGGTCATGTTCATGTCTCCAATGTACACCACTGTGGACGTTACAACAACTACGCTTACATGCACTACATAATAAGAAAAAACCATGATCTGCGATTAGAGCATACCTGAACGGTCATGTTCATGTCACCGATGTACACCACTGTGGACGTTACAACATCCCCAGCTTCCAGCCGGTGCTGATGTGGCCATGCCATACCATGCCATGCCATGCCATGCCATGCAGCCATGCGGTGAAGCCATGCCATGCAGCCATGCACATGCACAGATGGAAGCGAGAAGGCAGGGGCACAGCAACACACATACATGCATGCATACACGAGTGGTTGAAGAGACTGAGTGAGTAACGTGGAAGGAGATACGAGGGAGATACGAGCAAGAGACGTGCCTTTGAAATGAACCAAACCCAATATTGACTGTTAAATTCAGCAAAGATTTGTCACCTCTGATTAACCCATTGCAAGAAGCAGACGTTTCAGACGTGACAGTGAGAGGGGAGCAAGGAAGTAAGTACGAGCCAGGGAAAGTGAATAGCTCACACTGGCTCACACTGGCTTATAGAATTTTAAGGACCAAACCTGCCTCATTGGAATGTGGCGAATTTCTAGTCAGCTTGTTGCATCTGAGTTTTCCTTTTGATTTCTAAGAGAAATCACAGTGACCCACCTGCACCTGCTCCCTCCCTCCGCTCCACCCTCTCCTGCTCCTCCAGATCCGCTCCCCTTTGTGTCACAAGGGTGCTTCTACTGTGCTCCCTCCCAATTCCAACGACCTGCACGCACTTGATTGAAGAAGTGTTTTGAGACGCCTCAAAACTCCTCCTGCAGTTCAGGAACCCACCTGCAGCTGTTCCCTTCTCTCCACCCTCTCCTCGTCCTCCAGATCCGCCCCCCTTTGTGTCACAAAGACAGAGCGCGTCTTCGAGTCACACCTTTCAACTCTCACTCGCACCTCCTGTAAGGAGATAGGGAGAGGAGAGGGAGGGAGATGGAGGGAAGAGAGGAGGATGGAAACAGGAGGAGGGGAATAATGATCATTTCCAAAAAAAGAGGGCAATTTCCCCACATAGGACAAGAAGAGGGCAAGTCTCACCTCCCCCACATAGGACAAGAAGAGGGCAAGTCTCACCTCCCCCACATAGGACAAGAAGAGGGCAAGTCTCACCTCCCCCACATAGGACGAGAAGAGGGCAAGTCTCACCTCCCCCACATAGGACAAGAAGAGGGCAAGTCTCACCTCCCCCACATAGGACAAGAAGAGGGCAAGTCTCACCTCCCCCACATAGGACGAGAAGAGAGCGAGTTTCTCCTGAGTGTACTGCTCACTCAGCTGAACCCTCAAGGTCTCCACACCCTCCCCTCCAACTGCCCGCTCTTCTCCCTCTCCCCCCTCTCCTTCCATTCTCCCCTCTTCTCCCCCTCTTCCTTCTCTTCCCCCTTTTTCCCTTCTTTCCCCTTGTTCCATGCCTTCCATTTCTCCCCTCCCCTGCCTCCCCCCTCCCCCCCACCACTCTCCTCCCGCGCCCCAAACAGGTTCGGGTCGTGCCCGTTGGCTCGGAGCCAGCCTCGGAAGCTCCACCGGCGGAGCTCCGGGTGCATGTAGCTGGCTGGGAGGAAGGCTTGTACGCCGTTGAGTGAAAGCTGGGAAATGGAGAACGGGGAAAAAGGAGGACAGATATAGAGAGGGGGGATTTATTCAAAATGTGAGTCTTGGTCTGAAGCTCCATCGGTGCAGCTCCAGGTGCATGTAACTGGCAGGGAGGAAGGCTTGCACACTGTTGAGTGAAAGCTGAAGATAAGGGGTGGGGGGAAAGGGGAGGTGGGCAGGTGATTGGGACATTGAAGCAACGCCGGAAGCAAGGCTTGAAGTTCCAGCTATGCAGCTCCGGGTGCATGTAGCTGGCAGGCAGGAAGGCTTGCACTCCGTTGAGGGAGAGCTGGAGGAATGGGGGGGAGAGAGCGGAGGGGAGAAAGGGAGGAAGAGGAGAGTGGGAGGTTGGGATTGAGGCTAGGTTTGAAGCTACATCAGCGCAGCTCCGTGTGCATGTAGCTAGTTAGTTGGGAGGAGGGCTTGCATGCCGTTGAGTGAGAGCTGAAGATGGGAGAGAGGAGGGGGGGGTGGGCGGGAGAATGGGAGGGAGAAGGTGGGCGGGTGATTGGGAGAGAGACGCAAGGGTTGAAGCAAGGGTGGAAGCAAGGCTGACAGGAAAGCAGGCTGACAGGCAAGCAGGCAGCGGGCAAGCAGGCAGCGGGCAAGCAGGCAGCGGGCTAGCAGGCAGCGGGCTAGCAGGCAGAGGGCTAGCAGGCAGCGGGCTAGCAGGCAGCGGGCTAGCAGCTTACCACAAGGCCGCCATGGTTGCAGGTGACAACCTTGGCCATGACTGTTGTGCGCTCGCTCCCTCACTGCCTGAAGCAAGGTCTGGAACTAGGCCTGCAGCGAGACTCACAACAAAGCAGGCAGGCAAGCAGGCAGGCAAGCAGGCGGGCAGGCAGGCGGGCAAGCAGGCGGGCAAGCAGGCGGGCAAGCAGGCGGGCAAGCAGGCGGGCAAGCAGGCGGGCAAGCAGGCAGGAAAGCAGGCGGGCAAGCAGGCGGGCAAGCAGGCAGGCAAGCAGGCGGGCAAGCAGGCGGGCAAGAAGGCGGGCAAGCAGGCGGGCAAGCAGGCGGGCAAGCAGGCGGGCAAGCAGGCGGGCAAGCAGGCGGGCAAGCAGGCGGGCAAGCAGGCGGGCAAGCAGGCGGGCAAGCAGGCGGGCAAGCAGGCGGGCAAGCAGGCGGGCAAGCAGGCGGGCAAGCAGGCGGGCAAGCAGGCGGGCAAGCAGGCGGGCAAGCAGGCGGGCAAGCAGGCGGGCAAGCAGGCGGGCAAGCAGGCGGGCAAGCAGGCAGGCAAGCAGGCGGGCAAGCAGGCGGGCAAGCAGGCGGGCAAGCAGGCGGGCAAGCAGGCGGGCAAGCAGGCGGGCAAGCAGGCGGGCAAGCAGCTTACCACGAGGCCGCCGTGGTTGCAGGTGACGACCTTGGCTGGCACTGTTGTGCGCTCCTTCTCTGCCTGCTGAATCACCTTCTCCTCCTGCCATGTGCCATGTGGCACAGACATGAACATGAACATGATTTTGAAAGGTGAGTATGGATTGGACGCAGACATGAATGATGGGTGTTTTTTTTTTTTTTTTTTTTTTTTTTTTTTTTTTTTTTTTTTTTTTTTTTGTGTGTGTGTGTGTACGCACAACTATTTGGGGAATGCAGAATTATTTGGTGAACGGAGTGGAATGATGAAGGGGTAGAAGAGAAGAAATAATAAAAATGAGGGGTAAAGGCAATGACCAACACAATTCAAAAGGGTAGAAGTGCATCTTACCTCAGGAGAAGTATTGAGGCCCCACAGTTTAATGCCCTTTAGCAGATCATCACTGCTATGGGAATCAGCAGCACTTAGTGAAGTGGTATCAGCACCAGCACCATCAGCAGCGGAAGAGGCAGTTGCAGTGGTGGGAGCAGCAGCAGCAGGAGCAGCAGAAGGAGGAGCAGGCGCAGAGGGAGCAGCAGGAGCAGAAGCGGCATCAGCAAAGACAGGAACAGCTTCAGCACCAGGAGGCGGGGCGGGGGCAGGCGAGGAGAGGAAAGGGCGTGGTTTGGGGGGGAGGGGCGGGCGGGGGAGTCGGGACGGGTGCGGCGCAGGTCGACAGGTGGAGGGGTGACAACTGGGGGAAGGCCCTTGGGGATAGGCGTCACAGCCTGGGGGGTGCTGGTGTTCAGAGGCTTGGAAGGCCTGCAGTGGGGGAGAGAACAGGGGTGAGTGACTGAGAGACTGGTAGGTCGACAGGTGGCGGGGTGACGACGGGGGGAAGGCCCTTGGGGATAGGCGTCACAGCCTGGGGGTTGCTGGTGGTCCCAGGCTTGGAAGGCCTGGAGTGGTGGAAAGAACAGGGTTTGGGGGGGAAGGGAGGGCGAAAGAAATCAGGATGGGTGCGGCGCAGGTCGACAGGCGGAGGGGTGACAACGGGGGGAAGGCCCTTGGGGATAGGCGTCACAGCCTGGGGGTTGCTGATGGTCCCAGGCTTGGGGGAGCGGTGGGGGAAAGAATGAGGGTGGGAAGGTGGGGGAGGGGGGAAGGGGTCGGATTACGACTGACAAATCCAGGTGGAGAGGGGAGACGACGGAGAGAAGACAGACGGGGTGACGAGACGTCTCAAAAAAAAAAAAAAGCCAGAGGAGGACAGGTGGTTTAAGGAGGCCTTGGTGCATTCTGGCACGATTTTTGAGGCGCCACAACACCACCTGTCCTCTTCTGTGCTCTTCTGACAAGAGTTTCACGGCGGCCTTGCCTTGCTGCATTCTGGCACTCGGAGAACTTGGGAGGGAAGTGGGGGTGTGCGGGTGGAGAGAGGCCGGGGGAGGGGAGGGGAGGGGAGGGAGGGGAGGGGAGGGGAGGGGAGGGAGGGGGAGGGGAGGGGGAGGGGGGGGGAGGGAGGGGGGAGGGGAGGGGAGGGGAGGGGGCGGGGAGGGGAGGGGGAGGGAGGGCGGGGCGCTGTGCGTACCGTTTCTCTGCAACCTCTAAAGGTTCAGCGTCTGCAGCAGCCACAGCAGCAACAGTAGCGGTGGTGGCAGCAGGTGCAGGCATCGACTGCAGCAGTGCTGCTTGCCTCCTCTCCCTCGCCTCTTCCCGCCGCACTGCCTCCTGCACCGTGGCAGACCACTCCCCTGCTGCCGGATCTTCACTATCACCAGCAACACTGGCAGCAATGTTGGCAGCAACGTTGGCAGCAACGTTGGCAGCAGCAGCAGCAGCAGCGTTGTGTGGGCGTGAAGGGGCCTTCGTTACAGTCACTTTCTTCACTTCCGCCTTTTGCACTGGGCCCATCGTCTCTCCTTCACCCTCTCCTTTCGCTGCTGCTCCTCCTCCTCCTCCTCCTGCTCCTGCTACCGCTCCTGCTGCTGCTTCTGCTGCTCCTGCTGCTTCTGCTACTCCTGCTGCTGCAATCTCTTTTCCAGCGCCCTCGCTGGTCCTTTGACCTGCATCAGCAATCCCAATAACCTTCCCCCCCACTGGTCTCTGTAACGCTGGCAAGACTTGCTCTCTCTCCTTCTCTTTCTTCTTCGTCTTCCCATCCATCGTCTCCCCCTCCACCCTGCTCGCCTCGTCAGCGCTCACAGCCTCCCCTGAACCCCCCACTGGTCTCTGTAAAGCCGGCAGGACTTGCTCCCTCTCCTCCTCTTTCGCCATTTCCCTCGTCTTCCCATCCATTGTCTCCCCTGTCGTGCCCTTGACAGGCACCCTGCTGGCCTCGTCAGCGCTCACAGCCCCCCCTGAACCCCCCACTGGTCTCTGTAACGCCGGCAGGACGACTTCCCTTTCGTCCTTCTTCTTCTCTGCAGGTCGTTCCCCCTCCACGCCCTTCTCAACCACCACTGTGCTGCTCGCCTCTACCGCGTGCACGGACCCTGCTGGCCTCTGCAACACGGGCATCACCTCTTCCCTCTCCTCTTTCCCCTTGTTCCCCTTCTTCCCCTTCTTCGCCTTCTTCGCCTTTCCTCCCATCGCCTCCCCTTGCACGCCCTTGTCAGAAGAGACCTTGCTCGCCTCTGCAGCATTATCAAACCGCCCAGACCCCGCTGGCCTCTGTAACGACGGCAGAACTTCCTCCCTCTCTTGCACCTTCGCCTTCACTTTCACGCCCTTATCAGACTCCCCGCTTGCCTCTACCACACTTACAAACCGCTCAGACCCGACTGGCCTCTGTAACGCCGGCAAAACTTCCTCCCTTCCCTCCTCCAACTTCTTCTTCGTCTGCCCTCTCTCTCTTTCTCCCCTTCCTTCTCCGCATCCCTTCTGCTGCGCCGTTTCCTCCCTTACACCTTTCACATGTTCACCTGCCTTAGCGCCTGCTGCCCCTGCCAGTGTTGGTCGTCCTGGTGGTGGGGTCAATGGTGCTGCTTGGTGCTGTTGTTGATACTTCAGATGCAGATGCCGATGCTGATGCTGATGCTGATGCTTCTACTCTCCCCCATCTCCCTTCCTCTGCACTTTAACTGGTTCTATGATTGCACCCACCCCTCTGAATTCAGGGGAAGCGTGTCTTTAACCCCGCCTCTCCATACATCTGGGACGGTCGTACTGCCCGAATCACAACCGGGACCGCAGCAGGGCGGGTGCTTTTGTCCGTTTGTGAAGTTCCAACCGGGGGGAGCAGCGAGGGATTGGGCGGCGGCTCGCGCTGGGTGGCCAGGCGGCGCAACAAGGGGCGGGGCAGGTCTCTTCGGTTTCGCAGGGCGGGTTACAGTTCTGGCGTCGGAAGATGAAACGGCATATGTAACTGGAGATGTAACGGCGGAACTACCCGCTCCACCACCAGAGGAAACCACCCCGGAGGAAGCTTCCCCGCTCCTTCCTCCCCCGGTTCCTGCCGCCCGTGCCGCCCGGGTCTGCATGCGCGTGCGCTCCATGTCCTCCACCTCCGCCCACAGCTGCTCCACTAGCTGCCGGACGTCGCCGCCCATGCGCTTCACGCGCTGCTGCACGCGCTCCCCCGCGGAAAGCTGGTTAAGGTCCGGGTACAGGCGCATTAGGAGGAGCTGGGGGCGAAAAAGGGGGGAGAGAAGGGGGAAGACGGAAAGGGGTGTCGGGGGTAAGTGAGGACAGCTTGGTTTGGAGGTCCGGGTACAGGCGCATTAGGCGGAGCCGGCGGGAGATGGATGGGGGGAGGTGGGGGGTGGGGGGTGGGAGAGGGAGGCACGAGGGGTTGAGGTCCGGATACAGGCGCATGAGCAGGAATTGGGGAGAAGGGGGGAGGCGGAAGGCGGGGAAAGGCGGCAGAGGGAGCGGGGGGGAGGGGGGGTGGAGGGGGGAAGAGGAAAAGGAGGGGATGGGAGGGGATGGATGATGGCGGAAGTAAATGGGGTGCTGCACGCACTCCCCGCGTGAAGCTGGTTAAGGTCCGGGGTTTGAGGATGAGGAGGAGCTGAGGAGAGGGAAATGTAGGGGTAGGGAGGGGAGGATAGGGTAATAAACGACAGGGCACTGCGAAACGGGGTTCGGGGTTTTATCGGGGAAATTCCGGCCCTTTTCCCGCGTGTTCGAGAGCACGCATGGCTTGACCTTTCCCTTAAATTTACATCTCTTAGCCGTTGTCAAACTGCGCTTCGGTTTCACAACCCACCTGCGCCTCGGTTTTTCTCCATGTCGTCGCCCATCTGGCTCGCAAACGACAGCGCGAATCGCTCCGACGGTTCCCATCGCCGCCGCCATTCTCCCGCCGATCCGTCCGCCGGCTGCTGCGGCGGCTGCTGCGGCGCGCCTCCTGCTGCCGCCCGTGCGGAATTCACGCGAGACGTCCGTCTGCCTCGCGCTGCCGACGATTCTTTTGCAGGAAGGGACACGTGGCGTCCGCTGATTGGTTCGCGAAGCAATGGCCGGCCGAAGAATGCTGCCCGCGGAACGATTGGCGGAGCGCCATTGATCCGGCGTGGATTAACTAACGAGGGCGGATTAAGTAGCAAGGTCGGACTGGAGAGGCTGGAGATCGTAACGGAGGAAGCGCGAATTTCTACTAAGTCGAGCGCGGTTCCGGAATATACGTATCGGGAGGTTGCCGAGGCGCGTTCTAGATTGACGGAAGGAGACATTGACACGGGCTTTGCGGAAAGAGGCTGCCGGCGAAAAAGACGCTGCCAGAGGAAAAAGCTAAGACGACCCTGTCGGACGCTGTCAGACGCGCTATCAGATGTTGTCGGAGCTGACAAGTGGATACGAAGGTCACAGCCTTATTCTGGTGACATCAGCTCTCCAGATTGTACCTGCGCGTCGCGACGACCTACAACAAAGTTACTTGCTCCTCGAGGGACGACTAGAATGGGCTGCTATTTCATGTGGAGCGATAGTACTCGATAGTAGCAGCTCCGAAATATATCAGTTGAGTTGCTCGGTAATCCAGGTGATTCGTCCTGCCACGTTTTCCCTGGCTTCCAAGATAGTCCACGTCAGGCAGGCGTCTGATGTGGTGCTGGCTGTCCATTCGTGGAGGGTCATCCATGATGGCAAAATCGAACATTCGTAAATACATGATACAGCTACACTCGTCTTTGTTAGTGAAATTTCTCTGACATATTTCTCTAACAGTCACATTCGTAAATAAATGATACACCTACTTTGTCAATTATTTTTGTAATAGCTGGCATTCTGTTACCGCGTGTTTGTCCCTTTATGGAAAAGCTGTCAACCCTATCAATTCGTAAATAAATGATACAGTTACTTTGTCAGTTATTTTTGTAATAGCTAACATTCTTAAACACATGATACAGTTACACTCGTCTTTGCTAGTAAAATTTCTCTGACATACCGTAGTTTATTGCAGTTATTTTTGTAATAGCTGGCATCCCGTTACCGGCGTGTTGGTCCCTCGCTGGCAAAGCTGTCAACCCCAGCAAAGGCATCCTAAATGGAGGTTCCTTTCACCTCGCATCGAGCCCCACGTTCTTCGTTACACCCGACGCGTGGCGAGCTTCGCATGCCATGCACCGGGGGGTTTGCGAGGCTATATTTGCGTGCGCAGCTGGGCCAAAAATCGCGTCGCGCTGTGAGATGCAGGAACGAATCAGCAAACGAGACGCGGCACGGCGGGGAGAGGCGTTTTCCCCCTCACCTCCCATGTTCCCCCAGGTGTGAGAACGCCATTTCCCCTTTTTCCTCCAACTTGACCCTCACTTCCCCCTTTCTCTAAGGGCGCGTGAGGTCTTTGAAATTTGTAAAAGTTTATGTTTTGAGGGCGAAATTTAGTTTTGAACTTACAAAGAAAGAAGTTCGAATTTCCTTCTATCGAAGTTCGAACATCGGGCTTACCACACTGTAAAAAATCACACACACATACAAGGTCGAACCCCGACATTCGAACTTGTAAAAACGAGCCGAGCCGCACGTCAACATCATAGGTTACCCGGTTCGCTCGTCTTGACAGTGCGCCACGTCAACATTTTGCGCCTCGGTTTACAAGGACCTAGAGCTCCAACTCACCTTCCGCGTCGAGTGTGTAACCAGGGTACAAATAGCTCCCGTGGCAACACCTTGTATACTCGTCATTCGCCCAACATGACAACCCTACAGCTGGTCCGCTTTCCACTCCCACAGGATTTCAAAGACATTTGGTGCGGGGGACGTGGATTGGGCAAGGGCGGGAGTTTCTTTGACTGACGTCAAGACGGGCGGGACGCGTTGCCACATCGTGCTCGAACGTGCCACGATGCTGGACACGTGGCTACCACTGTGTGCACGAATTGTGGGGTGTCTTCGTTGTGCAACTTCATGCATTGACGAAGCGCTCGCCCGTTTCGCCAGCTGTTCGTACGTGCTGCAAATCACACACGCTCGCATGAACGTGCGCATGCGCGTTCCCGCCTCCGACTCGAGTCAACTTCATATTTCAAACTCGAACTTTTGCAGAGCCCATACAATGCTTGGTTCGCGAAGCACCCTTCGCGAAACTAGCGAATAGGGTAACCACCCAAAGTTCGAACTTAATTTTGAACTTCTAAACAGAACACACGCGCCCTAATCAGCGCCAGGTTGTGTCCCCCTTCCACTTTTGTCCAACAATGCGGTGCGCGCAGGCACCCCCCCCCACCCCCCCCCCCCCCCTTCTTCCGCAGCAACCCCTTCTTTCTGCCCACTCAACTTCCTCCGACTTCAGTCCCCCCACGGAGTTCTGAGCATTTCTTTTTTTGGGCAAGCTTCAAATACCACCAACACCCCGATTGCAAGTCTTGAATCGTTGCTGAGAAGTCCTCACCTCCTCAACCCGAAGCGAAACAGCGTTTCTTTTGCCGAAGCGCACGACCGTCACTAGCGCCGGCTCATATCTATCAGCTTATCTCTAGATTCGTCACATATCTTCTCTCTACACTAATTGTTATACGGGTTGTAGTTTTTTATATATTTTATTTTGTGGTTAGAACGCGGCCGCCAGCATGGAGAAGATGTTCGGCCTGCTCCAGGTGGACCAATCAACGGTGGCCATGGTGGAACATTTTGGGCGGTTCGTGAAGGCGCTCGACCCGGGCTGCCACTGCGTGCCGTGGTGCTGCTGCTACCGGCCCGCGGGGCTCATGAGCCTCCGCGTGCGCCAACTTGACGTGCGCTGCGAAACCAAAACCAAGGTATTGCTAGTACTACCGTTGTGCTTCGGTGTTTACGGGAGAGGGTAAGTTGAGGGAAGGGGAAGAGGGCTGTCACTGCGTGCCGTGGTGCTACTGCTACCACCACGCGGAGCTCATGTCAGGAGCCTCCGCGTGCGCCAACTCGACGCGCGCTGCGAAACCAAAACCAAGGTGAGGCTGGTAACCGTGCTACGGTGCTTTCGAGAGAGGGGAGGTCGGTGAAAGGGGATGAAGGCTGCCACTGCGAAGCGAAATCTTAACCTTGCCTCATGAGCTCGCGGCACGGTGCTGCGTGCCGCAAGCTCATGATGCGAGGTTCAAAGTGTCGCTTCGAATATTTACACCACCAATCATGGCAAGGAACGACGCCAGCAAGGAACGACGTCACCGCCAGTCACAAAATACTTTTGAAACTCAGTTCTAAACATCGTGGTGCCATAGTTGTGTCCCCTCATACTGCTGCCGTTTCGTCATGTCATCTTTATTCACCCGTTCCCCGCTTCAGGGCAACGTGTTCCTCACTGTAGTCGCGTCGATACAGTACCAGGCGATTTGCGAGCAGATTGACGACGTGTTGTACAAGCTCAGGACCCTCACCACTCTTTGCCTTTTCTTTGTATCCCCGTTTTTGGCTTTTCCGCTTCAGGACAACGTGTTCGTCACTGTGGTCGCATCGATACAGTACCAGGCGATTCGCGAGCAGATCGAGGACGCCTTTTACAAGCTGCAGGATCCCCAGGCGCAGATTCGATCATACGTCTTCGACGGTGAGTGCTGCAGCGTTCGCGATCTACTGTGGCCGATGCATCTGAAACATTGCGATTATGATGTACTTCTTGTCATTGTTTTAGTCTTCGGAGTTTGCTTTCGCACCGTGTTTTTAATTCGCTATTTTCTGTTCCCCCCTTCACCTACACCCCGCAGTGGTGCGCGCGAGCGTGCCCAAAATGGATCTGGACCGTGTATTTGAGATGAAGAACGAGATTGCTCATCCTTCCCCTCCAGTCCAATTCCCCTTTCCCCTCTTCCCCCCTCCTGTTGCTCCCCTCTCAGTGGTGCGCGCCAGTGTGCCCAAGATGGATCCGGACCGTGTGTTTGAGATGAAAAGCGAGATCTTTCATTCTTCTCCTCTCCTCCAATTCCCGCTTTCCCCGTTCCTTTCCGCCCTCTCCTTGCTCTTCCCGGCAGTGGTGCGCGCCAGTGTGCCCAAGATGGATCTGGACCGTGTGTTTGAGGTGAAGAACGAGATTGCTCATACAGTGGAGGAGGAGCTTGAGAAGGTGGGGGTGTGGTGGGGCGTGAGAGTGGAGGTGCGGGGAGGGGTTCGTGGCGAAGTTTGATGGAAGGTGGTGAAGAATGAGATCGCGCACACAGTGGAGGAGGAGCTCGAGAAGGTGAGTGGAGTGGGGGTGTGGGGA